ACTCTTTGCACAGTGTATCAATTTTTAAACCGTTTACTCACCTAGTCCCCGTTTATTGATAGCATTAAGAAATTTCTCAAATGATTCAAAGGATGCCCCTTCACCCCACATCCCTAGTCGTTCCATGAAGGCCTGCAGGAAACAAAGACATTAATGGAAAGATTCCCACAAATGTTTACTGCCACTGTATGCGCAATGTAGCCAGGAGTTGGTTTAAATGACACAATGTACTTAAATGTTTAAACTGGGAAAGCAATTTTTAATTAGAATTAGACTAAATAGAATAGACTACAGAATTAGAATAGGACTAAACCTACAAATATTTGAAAACAGGAAGGACAATGGAGGTAGCAAACTCAATTTTATTTTAAGCTTGACATGCACAGCCAGCAGTCAGTTCACAAGTCAGGCACCAGCATTTGAATTCCTGACGCTCACAATGGCTGTGACTTGTCTGAGGGGATAGGGCTCAGGACAAAATGCACAAATGAACGTGTATTCAAGAACAGCTTACACAAGGGCAGAGATATGCACTGCAAATATGTCATTACCTGCAAGACTTCTAGGCATAGCTCCATGCACTAGCAAGCCATTGAGACACCATCATAAGCTCTGTTTAAGTACTAATCCCTTCCTGAACTTAAACTTGAATCTGAATCCACTAAAATCCAGTACTGTGCACAACCAAATAAAGCAAACTCTCTGACATCAAGTACAGCACTAGACAACCCAAAATACAAATACCTAATTAGAAAGTAGATTTAAATGGGTTTAGGGACTAATAGCTTGTGGATAAAAAATAACTTGGGGATAAAATAACTTTTGCAAAGAGTACAAGTATATTTCATTCATTTCGGATACTTGGACAAAGGTGTTTACCATGTTTTTGACATCTGATACCCCTGTGGCACTGCAGTATAACACTCTTGCTTTTGGTAGCTTTCTGAGAAAGAAAAGCAAGACAATACTTTACAAACACCAAGAGGTTCATAAGAACATTACAACATTTGCAAATTACTTAAATTATCAACTGCCCTTAGCCCTTCAACACAGATGCATGGGCGATTTAATGGAATTAAGTGGGAAGTCATCAGCTAGGCTGGTGAGTGGCCTTCTTGAGGTTAATGCATGGTGGCATAATTGTCATGCATTAAGGATGACCAATTTCTAAGAAGCCACAAAGTTAATGATCTACATCACACACTTGTCTTAAAAAGTTTACTTATATCATGTACAGTGTATTTAATACAAACCCTAACTACATCCAAGGAAGGAACAAAATACCTCTGGATTGCTGTCACAGCAACTGCTACTTTGGTACTTGTATCTTCCTTGCCCTAGGAACAAAACAGATCGATCTCTTTTAGGGCTCTGCCGAATATCTGAATATCCGGATATTCGATCGAGTATCGAATATTTATTTTCTGAATTTGAAGATTCGAATGCAAAAATCATGAAAACGAAGGGAGAATTTTCTATATTTTAAATGAGAAAAATTGCACTGAGGAGGTTTGTTTCAAGCAGATTCAAATGAAAAGTGACAGAAATCTTATAACGATTCAAAAAGCAACTTATTCATTACAAAAATTTTAAAAGACAGGTACTGTTCGTCTCTATATCTTGCTAAATCGTGACTGGAGATACTCCTAGACATGAAAAGCTGTGTAGTGATTATAATGTACAACTGTGTGCGTTACTGCAACTGATTTTGTACATGGTTTGTTCATCAACAATCTGCCGGTCGGTACAACTGAATATTCAGATATTTGATCAAATTGAAAGTCGAACATTCGAACAGTGAACTATTTGTCTCGGCCCTAATTTCTTTTAGATAACACACAATTTATGACACTAAATTGCTCAGTTTCAAGACTCACTCTGAATAGAGGTTATGCATTAACACATCCTCAGAGGGCAAAAGTTTTGTTTCACTGGGATAGGCTTGCGTAAACCTTTTGTGTATTCATTGTAACTAAATTAAAATATCCAAAACAGCCTCTGGGACACCATGGCGATGCCAGCAATGCAACACCTGTATTAAACTTGTTCTGACTTACTGGAATAAAATGCTTGGCTTTATGACATTCATCAAAGACAAGACAGCCATTGAACTCTGTCCCACCACACCACTGGATCAGCTGCTCCAATCGACTCTGACGAGCAGAGCCCCAAGCTCCTTGGAATGGAAGAAAAAAAGTTACTTCTAGCTTCTCAACAACAAATGCACTGGTCCCAATGCCAACTTAAGTGGTCCTGCTTGTTACTCCCTGTACCAACCCAACCTATCCCAGAACGGCCCGACAATAACCATTTAAATCAGAAAATTGTTGATACGAAAAACCTAAGGATTTCAATCTCAATAGGTCACATTAGAGAAAATGTTGGTTTGAACTTACTTTGTTTAATATTTCAAAAGGTCTTGGCTTTAGACTTGACATTTAAAAAAGTTAAGACTATTGGCTAACAGGATTCCTTTGCAGGAAAATGGTTACATGCTCATACTACAAAAGTGAGGGCCCTCCAGCTAACTTGCAAAACTCAGCCCACTAAGGAATTATGGCAGCTGTGTTGTTTACAGCAATTGCTTTTCCCAGTCTTGGGATACATGTTGTTACAAGGAAAAGTATTTGTGTCAGTGAAGAAAATCTGAGTGATAACTCAAAAACTATATTTACACTGAGTCCCACTCAAGTACATGTAAATATACACATACAGGTATACATGTACCATTTTAACCATCTCTCAAAGAAATCCTAATACAGTTCTCACTGGCAAACCTCCCCATTTTACCAGTTCATGACCAGCCTTATGACGTCTGAGATATCAAAATGTTCTACATATACGTGATGCCAGGGTCAGGGCATTTTACAGTATGTCCAAGCACAGTCCAATAAGCTCTTCTGGCTAGAATTCAACACTGACACATGGTACTAGCATTGAAAATATGGCTAACATCTACAAGTACCTCCTCTCTGGGTTGATGAAACCAACGTTGCATAGGTACTGAAGATAACGCCATCTTGGAAATCTTTAGGCAAACCAAGAACTCTGAAAACAAATTCATTATAATACTGAAATGACACATTCACATACATGCAAGCACACACAGTTATTATGTTTAAAAAGCAAAACAGATAATCGAACTGTACATAAAAGAAACTCCATTAGGTCCATTAGACATGTTAGAAACAAACTGTCAGGACTACCTTGTTTCCTTATCAAGTTGTTGGCAGCCCTCAATAACTTTGATGTGGCATCCAAGATCATGAAAGTCCCTGATAAAAATGAATATTTTGACATAGGTGTTAAGTTCAGACGTTTTTTACACGTACCGGTTTATGCCACTAAATTCTGTAGCCTATGTTTGAAGGAAAAGTTAGATCCACCTGTGGAACCTCAGAAGTTTACAAAGCATTATGTGGTAAATTCAAAGAGACTCCAACCATTACTACCTGGGTAAACTCTCAACTGTAAAATGCCAACTCTCAATCTCAGAAATATCCATTATACAGTCAAACATTACAAAAGGTATTTATACAATAAGAAGAGAAATCAAACACTCAGAAGATCCTGTCTACCTTTGTGCATCAACTTTTAGATCTGCTGATATGCTGAACCAGATGTGCTTTGTGCGACCTCGGCAATAGTTATCCAAGATTATACCAGCAATCTAATTCAAATAGGAAAGTGTAACAAACACTTTAAACTCACTTGGCTAGCAATAAAAAAAAACCAATTTAAGAAATCATACTGCGATATCGGTGGTGACACTGTGTGGGTGAAAACAGACAATTTACATGAATTTTCACTGAGGGAGAATTGCTTGAAGGCTTTTTAACTTTAACTGAATGATTTGTCAATCATTTTGTAATGTTGGATCCAGGGAAAGTATTGCAACCTAACAGGCTGTGGAAAGTATGACTACCTAAAACTCAAATCACCCACGAATGTCAACTTTTTCCATTTATGTACTCTGTGGTAACTGCTCCAGAGCTAGTGCCCCACATGTACGTACCTGTCTTCCCTTGCCAACTCCTGCTGCATCACCAATGAAGCAGCCCGCCCGGTTCCCATTGGGTAGGACTGTCTGGTGGCGCTGGCACTGTCAAATAAACAAAATTTACCGTAAAACAGACCTATCAAGACTTGACTATCAAGAATTCAGATTATTTGATGAAAAATCAGAATATTCTCCATTTTACCATGACAAACCTGACTGTTTGGATAAGTTGGATAAGTCATTTTATGGTACATGCACAAGATTACATGGACAGTTTCTGGTAATACACAGGCATGTCAAAATTGCGATTTGGTGGAATTTTTAGGAGCGAAATCGGTATGGCGGAAACAAAGTGAAAAATCAGAAATTTTCTGCCAAAATCAAGAATGTTGGGAGGTCTGCTAAAAAGTTACAAAGAGCTTGCAAGAAGGAACATGCAACACTTGAATTGAATCTTAGGTGAAGATCAAGTGCCACTACAGAATCGCACATGAAACAATCTTAATATGATTTTGCAATCTTGTAATTACAGAAAAATACCGCTATAACGAACACAATGGGGTCCAATGGGATTGTTCAATACAGCAATTTTCAGCAGCTACAGCACCCAAACCTTGCCCATTCAGATGTTCACCAACCTACCCCAAAACATGTCTACCCAGGGTTTTTAACAAAGAAAAAGTTCCAGTCAGAAAGCTGTGCACTTGTATCAAAGCTGTGTTCTTTTTCTTTTCCTATTCACCTTTCAAGTTGACCTCACTGGAAGGAATTGCAAAGTAAACTTTACCACACGGTGGCCATTCTACATGGCTGTCAGTGAGGACCATGTTGGCCATCATTCCTTTATATGAGAAAATGGGCTTCCAGAGCTATGGCTAGGTCTATTGCCTACGCGTCTCCACGCATTTCCAATGGAGCGAAGACCTAGACCTAGCTCTAGACAAGAGATTCGGATGCAGCCTTGATCACTACAGCCATCTTTATCATTTCAAAATATATTTCTTTTAATTTGAACAAATTTGAATATTCACTAAAAGTGTGAATAAATTTGGGTGACAGGTAGCATATTTGGTAAAGGGATGTTCATTACAGTGGCATTCCAGTGGATACAGATGCACCTGCTTGTCTATTTCTTTTTTAATTTTTGGACTTCTGAATAAGTGTTACCTTAAATCCTATTCAGAAAAGAAAGTTCAAACCAACTGTAAGCTGAAACTTACTGTGTATAATATCCCTTCCAGTTGGAGTCGACTTAGCTTGCCTTCTGTGATGAGTTCAGGTGGAATAGAGGCAGCCAAGTCATAGATTGCCTTAGGTAATGGAACAGCCTTTAGAAACACAAGAAAAATATTGCAGGCTGATACATGATGCTTGGAGTAAGGTTCTGCCGGGAGTTATGGAAACTCATCCATCAGTGTAAATACAAGGAATTGCATGCCCACAGTATTTTTTATTCTCATTTAGTATGGGCGTCGAGCTGGACCAAGAGAGGGTGCTATTTTCTTAGCAATGGATTTGGCTTCAGGTCATGATGTACGAAGTTCCTGCATGGTAGTCTTGAATAAACCACCTGATGATGATTCCTTGTATTCTATGCACAGTTCACTGCATTGCTTTAGCACTAACCTACCCTCAGAAAGCTTACAATTACTGGCACATGTGAAAGTGAACTCACAGCGAGGGAGGCAGCTTCTACAATGTCTCCAGGATGCTCCTTGGCTCCCGGGATGAGATCACTGCTCTGGTATTTGGTAAACACTTCCTTGCTGAAAAACAAATGCAAAAAAATCATGATTATGAATTAGTGCTCTGAAAAATGTACCGGTACCTCGAACTCAATGAACAGTTAATGCTGTTAACATCAGAATTAGGTCCATGTGTAAAGAGTAATATAGACACATGAATGGCACTGCCACTGTTTGTCCATGTGGACAAGACATTACAAATTGAAATGAAAACTCATTGCATAAACCGTGATACACAAATCGTGTTCGCCACAAGGAAGCTCTAATCTTGTGCATTACCAAGAATCATCTGCAGTCACAATTGCCTGAAAAATGCAAGACGCTGTTGCTTACTAAACTAATAAATGCATGTACAAAATACATGACAAATTAATGAAATGGAAAAAACACTCAGTGGAACTTGGACAACATTGAGACTGGCAGCCGTTTCACATTCAATCTCACCTCAATGTCTCTTGTACTCCTTCGTCTGAGACATCTTGTACCATCTCGTTGCTTTCTCCCTTCCCTGCCCTGCTTCTGTTTCCTGTCACTCTCCCTCCAATCTTTCCTCCGGGCACCCTGTGGCCTTCTGTCATCAACATTTCATTTCCTGAGACGTTCCCCAGTAATCCAGGAGTAATGTCATGGATTCCATTCATCATCCCACCACTACCCTCTCTCGTTTTGCTTCTCACAGCTCTTTCTCCAAGTCCATCAATTTGCATCTCTACGTGAGCTCCTACAGCGGAGTTTATGCCCACAGATGGTGCTTGTGGATTAGAACTAAAAAGTGAAACTGATTTCTCAATTTTGCATCAACTGTTAAACTTCTCTAGATATCACAAGGAAATAACCATAAATGTTTATCATTAAAGGTGATTTTACCAAGTGGGGCTGAGCCTGATATTAAAGCTACGTGTGTAACACAGTTACCATTGACAACTGCCACGCATCACATCAAACATACATGTGAATGTACCGTACATGTGACAGCACGTGCAAATGACCACAGTGAAAGAATGATTATCTGTAACCTGATGCAGGTGTCACAAGTATAGCACAATGACATACCGGTACATGTACAAATGAGCCCTCTACTGTGATAATTCAAGGGACATGTTCGTCTACATGTAAATGTACCTGTTTAACGTAATAAATGTGCATGCATTCAATACAGAGAAATGGAATGATTTTTCCCTTCGGTCACCTACATGTACATGGGCAGAAAATGCCTTTTTATTGGGTTCGCTGGGACGCAGCAAACATCAAACCTCACAGTTCTAGGGGTATGAACCCGTATATACATGTATGGTCATGCTACATGCACATGTATTTAGCATCAACAAGCATCCAGACACAGAATAAGTGTCAACAAAGCATCAGCAACTTGAAAAGACCCTCTAAAGTTTCCAAAGTGGTATTATCACCTAAAAGTGACTCTCGAATCTGTCAGACTGTAAGCAAAACAACAAATCTGCTTCCAGATTATCACAGCAAAACTAACAAATTTCACAATGTGCCAGGGTTGCCACGCTGCATGAACATGGCCGACTTGGTTGCCCAAATTTCAACACTAAAATATCATTTTAAATAAATGTAATTTAGTAAATATGATATAAGGAGTCTCATTAATATTAATACAATATTCCGCATAAAAATGATTGTATAATTTGTTGATGTTTTCTTGACACATGTTGACACTAAATAGCACAGCCCGCATACACGTGTATCAACAAAGTATATAAGGAGTATAAAATACATGAAGTATAACAAGAGCCCTGGTTACAGTCCTAGAGCCAACCACTGGTGCTCGTAGGCCGTACTAATGTTAGACAAGGAGACGGACAGCCGGTGATGCTGTTCAGCACAATCTTGACTCTGGGGCAAATTCATTATCACTCCATCCTGAGTTGATTTGCCTCTGAATGAAATCGATTCATAGGATAATCTACTCAGGCATTGTCAGGACGGAGTGCAATAAATTTGTGCAAGGGGATTGTAAATTTTGGGACCCCACTTTTAGTTACTTATACCGATAAAGGTCTGTCAAGATATGCCTGAAAAAGAGTATTACTCAGGCAATGTCTCTTGAAGATCATGACCCTATTTGGGCTATGTCTTCCTTCCTCGATGATTTGAGAGAGTAAATGGGGAGAAAAATGGGACTTTCTTACATTTACCTTATGTCTGTCAATGTACACGTACATGTATGTACATTGTAAATGCATGGTCAACTTGACACACACAGAAACACATGGTAGACTGTATGAGGTTTGGCCGTTCTCTTCAATACTCTCAAACTGCTGATCTTGACCAATCAGAGATCGGCTTTCTAATAAAAATTTCCATAAACCAATCACAGAGAAATACCAAGCAAGTTGTACAATATTGTCAGGTGGATGCAAGCATGCACAGCCTGGCTTTTTTCTTTAATACTCTTACTCCCCAATCGGCTGATCTCAACCAATCTGAGATCGGCTTCCTAATGAAATTTTTAAGTTACATGTACCAATTGAAGACACTCTACCAAGCACATTTGACATTATCCCCATATCTATTTTCAGTGGATGCGTGGGTGCACACTAGGCTTGTGCGGTGGAACCGCGGTTCCACAAAAAAAATTGGAATCGGCGGCTCTGCTTTTGTGAAGAACCGGGTACCCGCCATTGTCGGTTCCACATTCAAAGAGCCGACTCCAAACATCAAATCCAAGTCCAAGTCACGGCTTAGTGACTGTGACTACTCCAAACATCGAATCCAAGTCATCGCCGCTTACAGACTGTTTAACATGTGGTTGTGACTTCAACATTGGTGAATTTTGCCTGGTAATAGCGTGTGATGTGTTGTACTTTCCACATATACATGTACATGTATGATCTTTTGATTTATAATAATGCCGAAATCGTGCGTCATTGGTGAATATACTACATTGTAGATACATGTATTCTGCGAAAGAACTGGGATTTAAATTCTTTGAGTTTCCAAAGAATGAGAGCCTTCTTCAAGTTCATGCTGTCGTTCACAGCTACATGTGCTACATGTACAGTATGCTTGCCTAATATGGCACAAACACTGTGGTAATACTAGGGGTATAGACCTCCTCACTAATAAATTCATAATTATGGACGCATGTGCACAAATGGCCCTGCCCCCGCCCTTGGCAGCAAGAAGTGTGAGTGGGCCATTGAAAATTTACAGGGTTGTGACTTTGATGATCTTTTTCTCTCAGATTTTCTGGCTTTGTTCATTTTTCTCTTGGAAAAAATGTTGCATCCTGACTCCACTTTTCTCATCATATATCATCCCAATAAAAGTCAGTCATTACAGAAATGCTGGAAAGACACAAATTCTGGACAGAGAAACATTTACCGATGTTGTTGGGAAATAGGCCCTACTTAGAAAATTTTCTTCACTCCCCATAGACTTTGTACACAACTGCTGAAGTGGAGTCAGGATGCAACATTTTTTCCCAGAGCAAAATGAAAAGCTCATTTAGGCCTACCATGGAGGTAGGAAAAGTCCTAGGCCGCCTAGTTCAGGTTGTTTGCCATGTTTGCGTATCGACTTTGTTGGCGTATCGTTTTAGAATACAGCTACAGATATGAATACAGAAGCAGATATGCAAATAGCCGTACAAAAGCCGTACAAAATTCGAGTTTTCCATAGGTCTGTCCACAATTGTCTGAATGTGGATAGGCCTAGGCCTACGTAGTACGTAGCTTGGCCTAGGCCTTAACTTTGCAGTTGCACATGACTAACTTAGTCATTGTGTCAGCACTGTAGTCCCAGAACTGTGGGGTCGGACGTCCGCTCCTCTCTCACGTGGGAGATGACCGCACCTCTCGGACCCCACAGTTCTGGGGTAGCCTATGCTACTACAGGCTAGCCTGTACACCATGGAGGAAGGTATAGGCCATAGCCATGGCTACAATTGCTTAGTGAGGGTACGTGACCAGCACACTTTATTTTACTTACCAAAACTCTGTCACACATTAGTTACAGTACATTAGGTTTGTTGCCCTGTCAACCTCTAATTATCGACGAATATAATTTGTGTTGATGTGCTTGCCGAAATTTTAACTTCAAAGTTCAAACAGATCCCGCGCGAAATACTTATGCCATGTACGACGCGCCATGCCCGAACTTGTCTAAACGTCTCAGTCTTAAATCCTGATTCGCACATGTATCGGTGGAATATGAAACCTGCAGAGAAACCTGTCTACTTTATCTCAACGACCTACGACTGTTTTATGCGCGTTGCATATTATGAATTGTATGTGAGTGAACACAACACTTTCCCATGCGTGCAACAGCCACTTGCAGACATTAAAAACAAACTTTGAAAACCGTGCCCAGTGAGCCATGATGTCGGATGAGTCCAAAGCTACATGTACATTCATGTTTGAATTTGCCCCTCCCACTGATATCAAAAGCTGGATACGTCGCTGTTTTACCCCCCAAAAAACAATAAAACTTAACTTTGGGTGCATTTGGTTCTGGCAATGGCACGAGTGCACTTTAAGCAGATTTTTGGCTAAATTTGACCAATTTTTAAAAAAACTTAAAAGAAAATTTAGCAGAATGATTTCTTTAGAATGTTTCCAGCAGAATGCTGTAAAAATGGTGATTTGAGTAGATGTATATTGCAGATTGTGGGAAAGACCGAGAGAATTTTCTTGCGTGGACCTCAGGCTTAAAATTTGAGCAAAGCCTTGGTTAAGCAGTTTTATAATTTTAGCTTACAAGTTTAAGTTTTGATGATTTTTGCCCAAATTTTTAGGCAATTTGATAACGTACATGTGAATGAAAAAATATACATAGTGTATATTTCATGCAATTTAGACAATTTGACAGATTTTTGTTACATCTAGCTGAATTTTGAACAGCACTTAGAAGTGTGTAATTTTCAACGTTTAATTTTACTTCACTATAGTAAGCTTTCATATTTGGTTATTTCTCAATATTGATACATACATCTCTAAATTTTTTGTGTGAAAAGTTGTTGGTCTTAACGGTCTTATTTGGATGATGCACCAGAATCTTTTAACAAAACTGGAACAAGAAAACCAAATTTGGAGTTCCAAATCAAAACCTCAGAAGTCTGATCTTGGATTGAAAAACAAACAGATGGTAGCCCATGATAGTTTCCACTGCGTTTTTCAATTCATCATCAGTGATACAAGGTTTTTAGATACAAAATCATCGTACAAAGTTTACTGTTTTAGTGACAAATATCCCATAATCAGAGGAGGTCAATTTTTGCAAGTCCAAGTCAAGTCACAAGTCAACAACTGGTTACAAGTCAAGTCACAAAAATAGCAACTTGAGTCCGACTCGAGTCCAGGTCAAGTGACTCAAGTCTACAACTCTGCCCATAATCCTCAATGTCAGTCATAGTGACAGTTTTTTCTCCACGAATGAAAATGAAAACATTGTCATTATTCATGAAGCGTATCAAATATATTTCCCTCTTAGTTTACAGATTGGAAGACGAAACAGGACCTGTTTTTGAATTTTTGTTGTCAAATCAGTGAGAAAATGAATTCACCACCAGCAATATGGCACATATTAGCTTGTTAGGCCACTGCCAGTAATGTGCAATAAACCCCATTCATAGGGTTAGTGAGGAAATACAAGGAACTGCCTCTGTGAGACAACATTATTCAGTTATCATGATTATCTATTTTCACCTCTGGTTTCCATGCAATTTTGATTAAGCAACTACCTGGTGTGTAACTCTTTAACAATTTGGAACTATGCATTTTGTCCTGTGCTTTATACCCATCAATACATGTATTACAGTCCAAAAAAAGCATCCACTGCACCAAAACTAAGACAGAAGCCCTAATTCAATGTACTCATGAGAACATTGACATGGGACTGCATGTTGCATCACACGTTAGTAGCAAGGCTGAGTTTGTTTTCTGAAGCAAATAGTGCTGAAAACATTTGTGTGTACTTCATGGTATTGATGACATTTGAAGGGGCAAGGTGATGAAGTTTTCTCGGATTCACTTTTCTCGGATTCACTCTGTAAATTTATACTGTCCTTCAAAATATGAAAAAAACACATCCTTGGTGGGTAAACTGAATTGAAAAGGTCACGTTTTGAATATTTAAAACTGTAAATGCATTTCTGTGAGGATTAGGAACACCTCTAGATTTGGAACATGCAGCACACTTTGTAGTGTTTTCCGTTCAAATTGTGAACCCAAAATTTGTTGATGAGAGTACATTCCTGAAAGTGTTGATCACTGACTTGTTATGTACATGTATACTTGTACAATGGATCACCAAAAGTACATGAATTTAGGACTGCAAAGTATGCAAATGTTCAGCCTATTTTCTTCTGCAACTGTATCAGTGCAATGGTGTGGTTTCCTTCCTGGAATGACATCAGAGTTTTACTCCTGAATATGAAAACTGTATTAGCATAAAACCATAATTTCATTCAACAACTTTTAAAACCAGTAAACCAAACAACGAAAATAAGGTGAACTGAAACTCAAATGTGAATTTTCAAGGCTTGTATTTGCAGGGCAAATTGAAAGACCGTAAACCCAATATGTTAATCTGCCTAACTGGATAACTTCAAACCAAGCACAAATGGCTGAAGGTTGCAGCAACAGTAAAGTATAAATGATGTTTGCTTTTATACAAGTTCAGATGAATGGCTCAGTCATTTTATTTTCATAAAAAAATATAGATATTAAAAAGTCTGCAGAATTTTGCTGTGCATGAACTAAGGGAGTTCAAAAAGTGAACTGGAGAGATAATTATATGAAGCCAGTGAGACACATAAAAAAATATGGAGTTTAAGAAATTGAAATGGAAAACAAAAGTTCCATGTATGACTAAAAAAACAAGCCAGGATTTTTCAAAGGGGCAGATAAGACGTTAATCAAAAGCTTAAATTTTCCCAGAGGGTGTCTGAGTCTTTGAATGCAACATATGCGGAGACCAACTGCCTTCAGAAATAAGCCAACGTTTGAAACACTGTATGACATTTCATGAAAGGAAATTAAGACAACCAAAAAAAATTGACATTTAGTAGAAGGAAGAGAGGGCCGTTATCTGTGTGGTTCCATTCCCAACCTCAACTCTCTCTGGTCTGCAGTCAATGCACAATGCACATTAATTCATGATGTACTAAAATGGATGACGTTGGAAAGCAGCATTTGGATGCATAGACACCCTGACTAACCATGCAAGTTAAAGCAATATAATCCCAGTGTCACTTTTTCATATTTACACATACTTGCAGACAAACCTCAATTCACAAACATCTACACATGTACACAGTACATATTTATTGAATGCTTACATTCACATCATATTTTCTTTATAAACAAAACATCATGTTAACAACATTTACGAATGTTTCAGAAGTTTTCTAAGGGGGGGGCAGTCCCCATCCTTCCTTAGGGCTGTGATCAATTCTAAATGCCTAGATATTCCTATTAGGAACTTTTATTTCCTGAACCCTCCCAAATCCTCCACTGAGCATTCTTTGTACAGAAAACTCTGCAAAATTAACAGTGGCTGGGCTCCACCTTCCTCAATCCCACTGTATGAATCCTCCAAAACTTCCCACTGAATTTTGAAGGACCCATGGGAGGCTGAAAGTTTTATCAAGAAGTCACTGCTGCTGGAAGTACAGTAAAACTAGACTGAGAATATCACTGTTTATATCTCTGAATATTCTGACAATAATGCCCTTGGCTCGGCATTTTCCGAAGCATCAAGTGTCTCTGCGAAGCCAAAAAAAAAAAACAATCACAAATGCCTTGCATGACATTTTGAAGAGATAAAACAGAGACTTGGGGTAAATGCTAAATCCTTTGACATTCAGGTAAGAAAGCCACCAAAAACCTCCACTTTTCAGAAAGCTGATGTAGCTTTCATAATTTACATGTACAGTCTGGAGTATTACCATATTTGGACGGCCTATTCCATCACAAATCTCATACAATCTGACCAATCACAAAGCTTGTTCTAGTAGCCTGCAACGGATTGTATGGGCGTTTCAACGTTATGGTGTGCTTTTCTTAAATGTTGCAGCTATGGAACAAAAATGTAACAAAAAAGTTTAACTGCACAAAAATTTGATTGGTTGTTAAAAAACCTGACTACAGACATAAACTACCGTAGAAGTTCAAAACATGTTTGTTGCCAACTTGAGATCTTAAAGATGAATTTGCCCAAAATTGCTGTATCAGAAGGGAAAGGTCACTACGCCCATACATATGTACATGTATGTGGTAATACTCTATACATGTAGACTGCTGTATGAAGGCTCATTTGAAGCAAAAATACGCTAGATGGGGATTCTTAACAATGGTAAACAATAAAGCATATACAGGTAGCATACGTGCTTGCATTATTTAAAATGTATATACATAATACTTACAGGATATTCACACTAACGGCAAGTCCAAGTGTTTAAACAAACACAAACATAAAGGTCTTTGCTAAAACATTAAAGCAACATTACAGAGTCATTCTACTCAATGGCATGCAGCGTTTTTGCACAATTTTTTTCTTTTTTTCTGCCAGAAAATTCTGCTTACTCACCGTGTTTCCAGCATGAGATGGGAAGCTTGTTTTCCCCAAAGCATGAGTCAATCATAATCCTTCCAATCTAATTACAATTCAAACTGGCAAGATTCTATAAACTGCTTCAAAATGTCCATTCAATTCACAAAAGACTGTTCAAAATATAAAATTCTATTACTTGTACACAAATTTTCAAGATTGGCAGTAACTGAAGTCAAAATATATTGATTTGCATAACTCAAATTTAACATGGAAATTCAAAATATCCTGTCAAGGATACAACTTGTTTGACTAAAATTTAACAAAAACAATTAAAAAAATTTCAAACTTCATAACACAAACTACAGCAGGTATAAAAACATTATCCAAAAACAGACTAAGTCTAGCATTGATATGAGATTTCGTCAATTATAACTGACATGATTTCAAAGGAACAACTCACAAAACAACGAATCCACAAGTCCCAACCCAAGCATCTCTTTAGCTTCACAGACACGTGGACATCATGAAGAGGGAAAAGGGGCACTTTCCTCATCCCTCCTCGATGAAAATGAACAGACAGGGGAGGGGGTAAAAATGAAGAGATACAATAGCAAGATAAAGAGGAGGAAAAGCACCAATTTGAATTGAAAGCAACTCGATACCGACTCCCTTCCAACACTAATGTTTGTCAGTTTGCTGTTCACTAGTGCTTTGTGCCCCATCCTCCCACACTCAGAAAATATCCTGGTAAAGCCCACGTTCATGGCTGACATACTGGTAATGCACATACATGATGACGCATCAAGTTGTTACATACAGTGTATAGCTATGAGCTATCATGATGAATAATACAGTTTAAGCCTCTTCAATACACGTGTTTTTACCAGCTATATGTACAGTATCCCATCCCACACGTAAGTCTAAAAGTTGGCAGTCCTGAGTCACACAGACTCTGTCATCCATTGTCTAAAGAAAGATGGACGGCCAAATTACCTACAGCACACGTACATGTATATTAATGCTCAAGAGCAGATAGCAGAGATGCATTAAGTATTACCATTGGCTTCAGCATACAAATGGCATCAGTGAACAAACACACCCTAGGTGTAATGGTCTGTAACCCTACCAAAGGTAGAGGGGGTGCATGGACATGTACTGTACTCCCCCCCTCCCATTTCTTTGCAATACCTCTTCCTCCCATTCTGTATTCCCATTTTGTATTTGAAATACCGATCCTTACTGAGTTCTACAAAAAATGTCTTGTCAAACATTAAGTTAAAAAAACTGTTTTGGTTGACTTCGATAAGTTTGACAAGATTGATGGAAAGTGCATGTTTACCATGTTTACTGCAAAAGCCATCATCTTACCAGTTTTAACGTTTACAGACCTACAGTATGCATGTTCTGAAAATGTAGAGCCGTAAAACCATACAAGTACATGTACATGTACAGACTAATTCAATTTGTTCCACAATGGACGGGTGGCAAGAATAGTTACAACAAACACTAACTGATACAAAAAATCTAATACTGTACATGTTTCACATAAAATCCAATATTGTATACGTTTCACATAAATGTTTCACACATCTTCAATTAGTACAACTACAGAAACGGCCACAGGGGCCATTCTATACTTAAGTAAAACTGATGTCAGCCCCAATATCAAGTGGTGAAGTGACCGGCACTTCATAGTTGGTCAAATCCTCCTCCGATCCGAGTGATCGATAGCCGAGCAGCTCCATTACATCACCACATTTCTTTTCAACATCTTTGGCCTCCTTGAAAGTCAGTGAGTTCCGCCAGCTGATGGCCGCCTGCGTTGAGTTCTTCCGGGTATTGAAGACTTTGGAGCTTTTGTTGGTGTTCTCCTGTGTGTTTGCCCGGACCCATTCTGTCACCTGTGGGTGCAGGGGGAGCCCCAGAAAGTTGTAGATATCTTTGGTGAAGCGTAGTGGCTCCAGTGCTAAGTCTTCATATCGGATGAGCTTATAGTGCCCTCGCAGCCACTCTGGTCTTGCCAAAGCAGCCTGCACAGTGTCACGCATCCACTGGCAGTACTTGTGCACAGTTTTGTATTTAAGCAGGTTGGGCTCGTTTTCTAATATGCCCAGTGCATATAAAGAACACTGCTCCGGAGGAATTTTTTTTCTTGGACAGTAAAACCTTTTTCGCGAGTTGGCTGTGGCACGAGGGTCTCGAACAAGATGGAGTATTTTTACATTCAGGTGATCCTCGAGTATGAGGGGTTTAATCGTCTCAAGATTGGCACGGATCATTTTCATTGCCATGTTCCCTTTGTGTCTCTTGCACTGAGCATTGAATAGCGTAGGGTTGGCCTTGTTGCATTTGAATTTGGCCTCACACATGTCTCGGATGGTACTGCTCTTCCCTCTGGCAATGCGCCAGTTGTAAATGTCATACATAAACTCGCTGGGAAAGATGCAGTTGGAGAGTTTACGGAGGAGCATGGCCATGGATGCTTCCATCTTGCTCAACTCCATCATCCTCATGTGCACCATGGAATCAGTGGCATGCAGAGGTTCAAACAGGTAGAACAAGCTAGGGTTCTGGTTTAGGATTTCCCCAAGCAGTGTGGAGCCTGTTCGCATCCTGGCCAGGACCATTATTTTCAAACCTACCGGATGCGCAGTACTGACTCTTTCTGCATCGGCAAAGGTCAACTTGGTGATATTCATTGCACTGTACCGCCGCTGTTTCATTCTTCGACTGACACCGGACGCATGATTTGTCGATTCCGGCCGTGCCAAGTGCAAGAATGGGTGGCCATTTAACCTGCTTCTCTGTGAGATGGTTTCCGGTGGGGCATGCTCAAACCACTTTGAGTGCCTTGAAAGAACTTCGGTATACATTAGAAGAGAGAATAGTACAAAAATAGAAGCGGTGACAATGAAGATTACGCCGCGACTCATTGTCATATTGTGCCTGTCACTGCTTCTACATGTACAACACAGGGTCTAGTACTTCTCAGTACTGACAACATACATGTACATGTACGTGCACCGTTATGGTTAAAAACAAGCTGTAAACATTTGAACAAAGCGTGATATTTCAAGAGCATGAAGCAACATCTGCTTAATTTGCATCACTTGACACAGCATAAATGTCAACTTCCTGATAATTTGACAAACTAAAGCACGTGACGATACCAAAACACAGTCCCTTTTATATTCCATGTGCAATTTAAGCCAATCTTCAAGAAGCACACCCAAAAAATTCAAGCAGAGTAAATTAAGCAGATAAGCAGTTTGTCCGGCCTACTCAAGCCCAGCTAGATTTCATCCATGCTGGCAGAACACAGTAGACAAACCCGACATCAGACTCGGTTACAGACTAAATGATCCACACTGAGCATTCACTCAGACATCCGTTCACCAACATAATTGTCGATGAGGCATGCACATGTATGTACGTGCAGTGACGGCATGCAACCTCCCAGGGATCAGTCCCAGCTAAACAATGAGTACGCAGGCCTGCAGAACAACGTGCATTATGGGAGGCTGCACAATCCTTCCAGCGAACTATAATGAATAACCACTATCAAAATTTTCACTGTATCAATTCCAGCCTTTCGTAGTACAGGTGCTGGTACATGTATTTATGCAAAAATGAAACAATGATTAGGTGTATAGCTTTGTAAATCACTAAAAAAGCCCCAGGTACACATGTACCTGAAACCTCACATGTACATGTAGTTTACCGGTACACACAGGCTGTCACTGTTAAAGGGTATTTACTGACATGCCTTGAGTTGCAGTGATTAAAAGAACAATTAAAAGAGCAATTTAGACAGGACTTGCTTGGCAAACTAAATAGGGCAGTAAACTGCATGGGCAAGATCATCAACATTGCCTGCTGAGGCTGAGATGTGTGCTTTTGTGCCTGCAAGGCTTCCTGAGTATGGACTTAATTAGTTTCCACAAAAGAGATCAGGTACCAGTACGTATATGTACAAAAAATAAACCGGAGGGAACATGAGCACCTTTGTGAAAAGCATGTTCCTGGTAATGGAGAATAAATATAGTATCTTTCAAGTACACAGTTTGTGACTTTTACACTTTGATGCTGTGATAAAAAGTGATTAGCGTTCATTTGCTAATCACGTTGTAAAAAAGATTCTGAATAAATGTACAGATGGCAAGATTTGGCACAAAGGCTGATCTTCTTAGCAAGGCTACATATTCCTGATGTGTTCGTAACTATAAAGGTTCATGAAATACATCTTGCTATTGTTCCTGCTGTCAGAAAGTGAAGGACAATTCTTTGGCGGTAGACCGACTTTGGAGTTTAACAACATAGAATGTACTTAAGCAGCCTCTTGATAGAATGTGCACCTCATCACACAAACTTGGCCTATGTACATGTATATGTATATGGCCTGATGAACTTCATGCTTTACTTGACACAGATTCAACACCTGATTCCTGTCCACTTCCAGTGGGACACAGCAGAGCGTCAACACAGGAAAAGTAGCATTGTCCCAGCCAAGAATGCATGTAGCTCCAGCCTGGAAACGTCCAATATTAACTCATCCGTAACTCCTTGAATTCACTGTCACTCTGGTCCCCAGGGTTTAAATGCTCCCGGTGCCTGCACTTTTTAAGAAATGTAGGGCATGCAAACGTTGATTTTGCCCATTCACATCTGGCGACTCTTGAATTTCTGCTATGGTCTTGCGAGCGCTGTTCACACTGAATGGTGCTGATGATGTTACGTGTACTTTAATGGGGATACTCAGACAAGACTGTTGGCAGCACTGTCATTGATGGCTGTCCCTTGGCCCTAAGGGGAGAGGGTGTAATACAGGCTAAACCATTACACACTGTTGATGAGTCAACCATGGGCAACCAGGAGATGATGCTATCAGGGCCCTCCGCTGCTTGTCCCTGCAGGAAGATAAAAATCAAAGAAAAAATCAAAACCTGTAAATCACTTCCTTTCCTGGGACAGTGGTTTCTAAAGAACACTTCTGATGAAATTTGCCCTTCAGTAAAGCAAAGATCAATTCATTAATGAGCATGTTGGAAACTTGTGCAGGTGCTTGTACCAAACTAATTCTGACTGGCTTATGCTTCCTAAAATGTCCTTGTCCCTAGCCAAATGGGTACATGTGTACTTTTTGCATGTGTACTTCTTTTGGCCTAAGTCCAAAGTTACATTACATTATAAATAGTGTAATTCTTAGCTTTGGTTTCACAAGAAATTACATTATTTTGAATGGGAGAACTGGTTCTCAACCCTGAAAGAGATTACTTGGTAGGTACATGTACATGTACTTGTGTATCTCTTTACATGTACATGTCAGATCTAATCAGGCTTGATCCTCTGATGGTGACCTTTCTGTGATAGGTTCACATGTACGTACATGTAGCCTACAGTTACATGTAAGCGCCAACTAAAATCTGATTACATTTCCATGTCACTATTAAGCCTGCAACAAACTAAATAACACTTGGCAGCGTGTGTATGCACTAGCGCTGTACGTTCAACAACCTCACGAAAAACCAAAATGTACCCCATGATCCCTATCTGCCCAAAAGACTAGAAAATACCAAAGAAAACAAATTACAAAGACAAACAACTGAAAAAAGAAAACAAAAAGAGCATGCAAACAGGCAAATATGCGAACAAGATATAAATGTACATGTACAGTACATGTACTGTATACTACATGTACCTACAGTCATCAGATCATGTACAGAACTTGAAAAATGGTACATGCATGCATGTGCAATGGAGGGTAAAACACCTGAAACAATTGTGAACTTTTGAAAATCTGTTAACAAGCTTGCAGGAAAGGCGAGTCAAAACCTTGAAATCACTCCATCTTAATTCCAAAACATATACAAGAACATGGTGGTACATGTACATGTGGGCACAAGAAATAGCCACACACTTACATGTATGTACATGTACATGCACAGCACACGTTACTGCACTGGTACCTGCACATTCCTCGAGGGTTGAGGTAAAATGGTACAGGAATGTGTAACTCTTTCACTCTGTTTAACATTATTGCACATGAACCAGTACACGTAGTTGCTAATTTCTGGAATACATGTACTTTCATAAATTTACATAAAACCAATCCAAAATTTACCTTCTATAATAAATCTTTCGTTGTCTGTGAAAATTATTCAACAAAATCAACAGATGTTTCCGCCACTGGGCACCTGATAAGCCAGCAATGTCAGCAAAGATTTCCTGAACTTAAACTCTAAGTAATCTCCTTGGATTTACAAGTACAACTCAGTCAGTGCACTCATGGTCAAAATATATCCCTAATTCAAGGTTGACTTCACATCAGCAGTCTTCAAGGCCAATCCAAACCTCCCTTTTTTCTGGCACAGTAGTACATGTACAATGTAGGCAGTGAGTCTCGCACAGTGAACATGAACAGTACTAGTGTATTTAAAATTAGGCCATGTTGACTGTTGTGATGCGGGATACATACATGTACATTTATGTATGGGTATGATGCTTACTCATACACATCGTACATATATTGTATATACAGTACATGTACATGTACGGCCAGGGCTTGAATTTCAATTTATTGGGACACCACCATTTTGGTCTCAAGACATGTGCAAGAAAATGGGACAAAGGGGCACTGAGACCAACCGGAGCAAAAAAGGCCATTGAAACTTTCTACGGAGGAAAGGCATGGAGACCAACGTGTCAAATATTCTGCAAAACAAGTTTAGAAACTGAAAAAAAAACAACGGTGGTATTTTACATGTACACGTATGCTTGAGCTACATGTACCAGTATCATATTTACACGTACATTGTAAATAGTTTATAACCCAGAAATAACATGTACTGGTACATAATATTCCCAAAAATGATTTCTTGTGGAGAAAACATCCTACACATAAAGTACACGTATTAAAAGATTGGAACAGGCAGAGTTCCTGACAAAGCACAAATTTCTTAATTAAGAGAAACTTAAAATGTAATTCATACAAAAGAATTCCGTTTCAATTAAAAAACGGGACTAATGTACATCTGATTCATGCGGTTCCAACTTGAAAATAAAAAATTTCATTGTTTGACATGTGCAATTGCTCCTCAGCATAACTGGTACATTCTTTAATTCTGGTCTGATTCCATTTTTCTACAGTGTATATATACATCACTACATGTAACAGGTACATGTAGTGATGTATACATGTACACTACGATGTTTGATGGGTATTCATGGACAGGTTTTCCCTTGGGGTAAGTTTACATGTAAATTAGCCATAGGATTCCCAGGTGGTGTACCGGTACCATTATACATGCACCAGGACTGCCAGTAGTACATCATACAAGTACATCTGCCACACAAGGAGACACTGAAAACTGTGGCTGAAAGTGCTGAGCGTGGCCAATGAATCATTTCCCTTCCGGCACGCATCATTTCATCAGCTGAACATAAAGAGAGGATTTCTCAGAAATCTGCCGCTAGGGTCTAATTTGATGTACCAGTACTTTTGACAAGGCAGTCCACTTCAAGTATCGCTTACTGAGTACATGTACAGTACGATGTTCATGTAGAGTACCTGTGATGAAGACAGGACCAGCATGAAAAGGTTTTTCCAGACCAAGACTGAGACCAACGGTCCAAGACTAACACTAATACCGAGATCAAGGCCCACAAAACTGAAAAGAAATGTATTACTGTACATACCAAGAGACGTGTCAGTCATTGTCAAAAGCACAATTTATTCTGATAATTGTCAATACATACAGTACACGTATGTTCAACAACTCCTTATAATATCGGTACATGTACATGTGTACATGTAGAACTTAGCTTTAACCTGAACGATTTGGGGGAGGATTATCACTCATGTCTGATCTTGGTTGTAAAACTTACTTTTTTCTCCCATAAAATACATACGCTAATAACGTATTTATTCAACATACCTTATTTCACCCCTCAGTTGGGCCAACACATCCTAGTAAAGGCTTCAGTACTAGAAACAGAAGCATCAAACCCTAGCTGGTCACGTACATGTATACATGTACATGTACCAGTACATGTACAACAAATCCCAAGCTGAAACACAGTAGATCCATCCACGTCGAGCAAGATGTGAAGGGGTTTACTAGCTCAAGCCCCTCACCTCAATAACTACTAGTCCCAAGGAAGCATGTACAGTGTATGTCCCAAACGCAGGGCCCTTCAGTGGCGTACATGACATCCATCCCACCTTCCAGCTGACCCTTGTTTCTTCCTGATTTTAGGGAAACGCAGAGCTTGAGCAGGATCAACACAAAAACAACCCGTTATTGGATGGGATGTTGCTAATCAAGTGCAGCTTATAGTAGAAATGACTTCCTAGTGGTGGGCGATGCAATCAACATCAGCCACGATGGCCACAGTAAACACACATTACAACCTCTTTGCTTGATTTGATTTGGATTCATGACTGAAAGTGACGGTCATAAACTTCACATGTGACATGAATACACTTACTGTACTTGTCCAGTACAAGTCCCCATCATCATGATCATGTGCAATCTACGTGTACATGTATGTACATGTACCTGTATAAGTATACCGAGGGGTACTATAAATACATGTACAGTGAGAGATTTTTTTTTTGCACATGCATACAGAGACAGATAATATGTACATGTACAGTATGCATAATTGTACTGGTACATATTGTGATATGGCCAATATCATATTTATATTGGGGAGTTTTGTCAACCTGAGTTTTCAAGGAAAAACTTGATGAAACCGTACTGTACTAGTACATGTACATGCACTTACGGAGTAATTTTGTTTTCCCGACAAACTTCACTGATTTTTATCAACTGATGAGCAGAACTATGCATGCAAGTAACCTCATTTTGCTGCAATACTACTAGTCCACGTACATGAACATGTACCTGTAAGGTGTTACAACTTACCGGTAAGGTGGAATGACTGAATGTCAGGAGGATTTCTTTGCTTAAGAGATTCCCATGTACACATATACCGGATACAAGGGTGTGAGTGGCCACTTAAATTAAAGCTGAAAACAGCTGGCAGAAATCTGAAATATAAAAAGTCCCTATACTTTTGTACAGACCAGGTGTGCAAGAAAAGCAGAAATTCACCGTCAACATCGATACAAAAAAAGCTGAAATCAGCTAAAAAGCTAAATTCTCACACCCCTGATATGCACGTACATGTACGTACAGTGCATGTACATATATGTATGTACATACAAACATGTACCTTGGGGTTGAACTGAAAATTGAACAACTTTTGGCATTTCTTGTGATTATACTTTTTATTGATGACCGTCCAAGTTTTAATACATACATGTACATGTAGAAAATCATAGCCTCACAATTCTATGGCATGGGAAGTTTCCATGCCATCCACAGTGCTGATGCTGCAGGTACCGGTACAGTACAATGTATTACACGTAAAGGGGTGGGTTTATGAGATTACACAAGAATCAAAACAAACCTTGTGTTTCAGCTGTGATGGTCAGTGGTCAGTAAAAAGCTCTATGTATTTTTCCAAACAATATTACTTTAAGGCATTTAAATAAAGTTGGAGTTTTCACATCATGCGTAATTTGTGGATGATGTTGTCATACCGGCAATATTGCGCAGGGAAAAAAAACAACACCCAAAAAAAAAATCAATATCACAAGACCTACATGTAGTGGAGAACCAGGGGAGAGAGGGATTAGTAGTTTTCACCAAAATGTCTGTAATATTCCCCGAAACAACTTCCACGTGTAGTATAGAGTAATTTTTGTGCAAATTCAACTTTAAATATCTCAAATTGGCAACGACAAATTTGAAATCCCATCGGTACAAACATGTTTTAGAACTTCTAGTTTATGACTCTAGTCAGGTTTTCTACCCAGCCGATAAAATTTTTGCAATTGAAATTTTTCGTCAGTGTTTAAATTGTTCCATATACAGCAATACATTTCAGAAAAGCACCCCATACATTGTAACTTGGAAATGCCCATACAATCCGTTGCAGGCTGCTAGAACAAGCCCTGTGATTTATAGTCAGATTGTGCAAGATTTGCAATATACATGTACGTGCAATAGGCAGTCCAAATATGGTAATAGTCCAGACTAATGTGTGATACAAATGTAGCCTTCAGAAATCTTAAGCTTGTTGATATTGATAGTTACTTACCCGGTACATGTAGGTAATAGCACAGATGAGGATAAGTCAGAACATGGTATGAAGTGTACGTGTACAGACATGTACTCAAGTACTCGGTTGAGCGCCGTGGTGAATTACAGTGTAGAATGAATCGAATTTATCCTTGTTAGAAAAGACTAACGGTCGAGTGGTCAAGAGAGGTTGGGTCTAGCATGGTTGAGGCCTTCAAGCTTGCACGCCGCTGTGACCTCCATCCAAAATGTCGCCATACTACATCGTGTTCTCTAGTATTTCAATCTTAGACTACAAGATGAGCTCGGCCGCTACCAAGGAAGACATTCAACAACTACTCGGTCAGTTCTCTTCTAACCAAGCCAAGTTGTTCAAAGACAGACTGGCTGAAATTTCAGCTAGTTTCGAAGCTAAGATAAAATGATTAATACTCAGTTAACTAGAAAAGAGAGGGGCACAAGAGACAGTATAATTTCAACCAGTCTGTCTTGGACCAGTTGACAGAGGTAGACCATAAGAACAGTTCTCCAGAAGTGAAGTGTCCACTTCAAAAAGCGGTTGACCTTCTTCACCATCGACAGAAGCTGATAAGACTGGCTGACACAAGCCCCTCTGGCTGGGCTACGGTAGAAGAGTATGGAGATAATGAACTGGCCAGCGACTCCGATGACGACAAGAAAATCATAAGTGCGGAGTCCAGAGCTGCATGTACATGTACATGTAAGCTCAAAGCTTCAGCCATGAAGGGCAGCCAAGCCAAATGCTTCAAGACAGACTATGGGGCCTCAACTTCTGCTGGTTCTGTTCCTGAAGCATCTTCTCAGCCTCGGCCTTTTTTGCCCCTGTTCATCTGTTACACCTGTGGCAGCCAGGGACATACAGCCAGGGACATACAGGGACATGTAGGAGGAAATCTTCTCCCAAAATCACTCCAGCCCAGACAATCACAAATAGCACCCACCATATGAGGCCACTAGCCAGAATAAATCGTCACTGAAGCAACTTATCTTTGGTAGCCAGACATGGAAAACCCGGTTGGCGTAACATCCTCAGAAGCAGATCTGATGAGTCACTTGGCTAATCAGCTCCCAGAAGTACTGTACAATCAAGGGCGCCACCGACAGTTAGCGCCTAATTTCATGACTTTGGAAAATGGCAACACTTGGCACTACATGTATCTCATCAGAAATCACCACTACCAGTGGATCTGTACCTCACAGCACTTTATCTGACTCATCTGGCCAATTCGGCAATATCCCCAGCTCCCATCATGAACACAATAGAAGCAATCTCCTGGGCTCATACCATGGCAAGTCTCCTGGATCCTACAAAGGACCCATTGGTTATCCATTCGGTGGAAGGACACAAGCGACTGCTGTCTAAACCCCAACATAGGAAAGAACCCATCACACCTGACAGGCTAGTCGAATCGGTTCATAAAATTGGAATGGACAAAACCATTTCTAATCCGATGAATATTAGGTCCTTGGCCATGATGCTCATTTCATATGCAGGGTTTTTACATTTCAATGAAATGGCAGCTCAAAACTCAAACATATCCAGTTTTTTGATGACCACTTACAAGTATCTATCAATATAGAATCGAACAAAAAAGATGTTTACAGACAGATGCTCTTTCGCACGTAACAAATGATTGAAGTTTGCTGCACACAGCTTGAGGGCTGGAGGTGCCTCTGAGGCTGCCAAAGCAGGAGTGACCGACAGACTTATCAAACGTCACAGGAGATGGAAGACAGAAACGGCAAAAGATACATGTACATATATGTACATGTATATGCAAGACAGTTTTGAAAATCTTTCATTAGTTTCCAAATCTCTTGGTATTTAATATCATCCCGTTCTTTATAAGTTCATCCAGGTCAAGCAACGTTACCAAAATATTGTACATGTCAAGTTTAGTGTATCGTGCTTAAAGGATAAATGTCTTTCCATTCAGTTGAGTGCCGTGGTGAATTGAAATGAATTGAATTTATCCTCGTTGTATAAGACTAACAGTCGAGTGGTCAAGAGAGGGTATATAAAGATTGTGTCTGACATGGTAAAGGCCTTCACGCTTGTACGTGACTCTGTGACCTCCATCCAAAATTGCTTTGATTTTTAGGATCTGTTCAATCTCGTTGTTTGCTAGCCTGACTACAGTTGGTTCGCTTACACACATGTAGGTCTGGCAAGTTTTCTTTTTCCCCTTGGGTTTTTAGGTTTTTCGTACATGTATCTGACATCATTAACTGGCAACCAACAGTACAATGAGTTCATTCACTGTAAATTACATACATGTACATGTACATGTACATGTACAGTACGATTCTGTTACAATCACGACCTATGCTATCCTTACAATGTTAAGATTGTAATAGATCTGGCTTTGTTCAAGAAGTTAATATGGTGGTTGAGTGATCTGTAATAAAGTCCTCCAGGTCACAGTTCTCAGGCACCATATGTCATTTACATCATCATTTTTGGTTCATTCATTTTGTCCTCTTTTAGATGGGGAGGGGGGCCAGGAAAGAGTACTCTTTGTACTTTGGTGAAAATGATGACAAAAATGGACGACCTCTTACTACAAAGCAGGAAAACTTTTTCAAATTTTGGCCCACTTCTCTCACTTTAGACCTTTCACAGAATAATCCATGCATGATGTAAACTATGGAGTATTCCTCCATGTGTACACATGATGGTACCTACATCATACATGTACATACAGACACACATCATACAACATGTACAATGTTTATATGTATGAGAAAATGTTAGGGGCATTACACTGGCACAAGTTTCATAGAAATATGGAAGGGCTGCGTAGCACCATGATCAGAATATTGCCAAGAATATAATAATTAATATAAAATCAGTGCTCTGGAATATGTGATTGCCGAGCTTTCGGTACCCGAGTACATGTACCTTCTTCAGGGCAAGCAAATTCACAACTGAATCTGCTTGCCCTGAAGAAAAGAAGGTACTGTACATGTACTCAGTTACTGAAAGCTCGGCAATCACATATTCCAGAGCCCTGATTTTATATTATATTCTTGGCACAAGTTTCATATCCAATTTAGATACTATAGGCCTAGTAATATTAGAAATGACTACTGACTACATGTATAGACTTGCCATATGTCTGGCCTACGGGAGTGGGAGTTCAAATTCTTCACGACACAGGAAAATACTCAGTCTTTCAAGGATGGAATGAAGCACTAGCAATACGGTACTTGAACTGCTGTGATC